ACACCTTGTTATCTCTGTCGTTGTTAGTCAGTTTAGTTTTAACATGAAGGTAACTGAGGTTAAATAATTTTTCATGGAGGTGGCATTTAATATTCACACCAGAGGGCAGTTAATCTTTGAGAGGAACAAATCAGTGAACATCCCAATTTTTGACCTTATGATGGATAAAAGTCACTGGTGGAGCAGCTTAGGGAAAATATAATTCGCATGGGAGCTATCACATAGCCTTGCTTCAAACCATTCTGAATTTTGAAGGCCATTGTTTCAGATCTATCAAGATAGTTGCAGTCACAAGATATCAATGAAGTTTCTCAGACATTCAAACCTCTATAGCACAATCCACAGGACCTTGAAATTCACTGAACTTCCCTTCTACAAGTGCTTGCATTATGCTGGGTTTAGCTTCAACAATGTCACTAGATTGTTGTTCCTTAGTCAGTTTACTTGGTAATTGCCAGTAAGTTTGGAATTGAGGGAATAAAGATAGGTCAACGTTGTTTCTAAGCTGACATTTGCATGAGCAAAGTTTCCATCAATGCATGGGAATCAGGAGTCAACAGTCTTGGTTGTTTGACCCTAGCACAGGTATGCTTAGGCTATTTGTAGTACTCCCACAATACACCAATTGAGGTCAGTCGCGCATGAATCAAGAACTAAACTTGGGGTCTTCCATAAGTAGTACGATTCATATCAGATCAATTAGTGTAATTAGCTGCCAAATCACAGCGGGAAGGAAACCACGAGTTCTGGACACCATAACTCCCATTATCTAGGCAGAGTGTTGAGTTCAGGACCAATTCTTTGACAACAATTAGAACTCCACAACCACATACCCACATCCAGTGACATAAGAAAGTAAATACACACTCAGGGCTTTCAATCATATATTAACAAGCATCACAAGTTGAATATTACGTGAGCGTGAGGATCTGGCTGGCAGCTGCACCCATTGCAAATCATAATCAGCTATGTGACCGAAGATCTTGCAAGATGGAAAAAAAAACCTGACAAGTTTGCAAAGATTATTCTGTGCCCAGATGCTTGACAACTAAAGTTGGTTGCTATGAAAAGAAGAATGAAACATCTTACACACCTGTTGGACTTCTGTTTCTCCATTGGAAATTTTTTCTGTGTACACAAATGAGTTGTAGATCGTCTGGAAATAGAACAGAGCAGGACAGGTTAGAGGACAGTTACACCCAAAAAGAAATCAAGTTCTTCTCCATTGAGTATGTCAAAACTGCAGCCCTTTAAGTCATGGTAATCACAAACGTATTTGAACTCTCTAGGCCTGAAGCTCAAAGTTACCTCAAAGTCCATTGATAATTGCAATTTCATGTTTCTGCAAATTGCTTAGAACATGGGTTTAAATTTGATAAATGGCCCAATGTTCCATGGTGCAAATCTGTGGCTTCTGAATACAACAAAACTCCAAGAACTCCCAACCTACAGATTATGTATTGTGTTTATAAATTTTAACCTCATGCCTGAAAATGAAGACTCATTTTGGGGTATAGCTCCATAAATGCCGACTACAATCAAGTTTCTGAACCAAGTAGAACATGCAGGCAGTTAGCTGAATAGCCCCCAGTCCTGGGCTGATTGAAGAAGAGAAAACAGCCCATTTTTTCCTGCAATGTGCTTTGAATTGAACCTGGTACTTTTTAGGCTGCTCAGACGACCCCTATAATGGTGCAGCAATAGTGTCCTTACCCCTAGATCAAGAGACCTGGGTTCAAGTCCCACGTGCTCCAGATCTCTGAATAGGTTTGTTTTAGAAAAAAACTGGGTGAAATTTATTAAAATTTCAGGCTGTTCAGCTCAGTGCTTAATTGGCATACAAGGACACCCAGGTCTTGCTGCTCATTCCTTTCTCTCAGTTTATTGCCTCAGATAATAATGCACCTTCCTGCTTTTGCTACAGAAGTGGATAACTCACACTAATCCGCATTAAACTCCATCTGCCATGAATTTGCCTGCTCACTCAGTCTGTCCAAATCACACTGCAACATTCTCCTCACAGCTCACCCTCCCACCCAGCTTTGTGTCATCTGCAAAAGTGGAAATGTTGCTTTATCCCGACCCCACCCTATAAAGGAAGTCTAGAAAATTTTCTGTGGGTGCTTTTAATATAAAAGGAGGCTAAAAAGGATTTTGAAAAGTAAAACATGGAAGTTAAAGCTTCTAAACCAATGAGCCACATTGTATTGTTCCTGTCTTATTTCAAGGTGTAAAATGTATGACTTTATTTTTTGAATATCTTTTCATCTACATCTGACTATCAGAAAAATCTATTTAATAGGTTTTCTTGAAAAGAAAAAAAATAGGGCTGGTTGCTGTTGAAGGCGTGGGTAGATGACTTGTCCATATTTGCATACTGGGGCTCAATGACTCAGACTGCAGTCACTTGGTTTTGCATTAAAACATGACATTAGTTGAACAGCTTCCTGCCTGTTCAGTAAATTATCTCCGTGCCTGTTGATAGTTTGCTCTCTACAACGCCTCAAATTTGCCTCTGCATATTCTTAACAAAGTCTCTCGATGTATTGTGCGTTTTCTACATTTTAGTTAAGTCACAGGCCACAGGCTCCCACGAATAGGTGAGGGCATTTAAGCTCTTCCAGGATGCTTGGGAGACAACCCTAAAGCATTTTTGCTGTCCTCCTGGTAGTCTCCTACCACATCTAAGTCCTGTGTAAAGCTGTTACTTCAGATGCATCATGTTAGACATCCAAATGACTTGCCCTGTTCAGTGGTTTTAGTTTTGAGTGATTAGTGCTGTTGGATTTCAATAGGATGCTGCTGTTACTTTTTCCAGTGCCTTTCCCAAGCTGTAGGCTCTTCCAGTCTCTGAAGTGTATAGAAGCTAAGGAACAGCTGCTGCCTGGGAAACCACAACCTTAGTCTCAGGTTTTAGATCCCTGTTCTGAAGTACCTTTGGCCTTTGTTAACTGAAGGCTGAACTGGCACACTGAAGGAGCTGATGATCATTTCATCATCCATACTTGCTTTCATTAAGAGGAGGCTCCCAAATCATGGAAAACTGTCCATACTTACATACTGAGGCTCAATGACGGAGACTGCAGTGACTTTGGCTTTGGGTTAAAGGGGACTTTAACTGAACGGGTTCCTGCTTATTCAGTAAATTATCTCCACGGCTATCGGTGGTTTGCGGGTTGTGAAATGAAATATTGGAGCAAGGGAGATGGTGAAGAGTGATGGTGTAACAACAGCCTTGTTTGACCCCAGCCTTCACAGGGATAGATTCTCTGTTGGTTAAGGATCACGAATTCTGTTCCTGACCGTAATATTCAGAAGAGAAATCTCCAATTCTATATTTTCTGGCATCCTTCAACTTTATCATTTGATTATGAACTCAATGAACCACAATTTTCAATATTAGTCCTTCCTTCCTCCTAAAATAAGCTTTTAACTATCAAGCCTCATATAATCATTATTTCTCAATTTAATCTCTTCTGCCATTTGCATTAATTATTACTATACTCTGCTTTGATGTTTCATCCAAGTTTCTGAATTTACACAAACCATCATTTGGGCCTCAGTGAGAATACTATCATTTTTTGATATCAGGGATGAAGGACTGAACTTCAGAGGAGATTTGTGTGAAACTGGAAGGTTATAAAGGGATCCAACTTTTTTTTTTAAAATCATGAATGCTTTGATACATTAAGTAAAGTTCCTTTTATTTATCAGTGAAGAAACTGAAGATTGCCAAAGACCTATAAAGAAAAGTCAAGGTAATTAGGACATGGAATGGCCTCTGAAAAATATTTTGGACATAGAATTTAAAGAGCTTCTGAAAAGAAAATAAGCAAGTAGCTGAGAAAGAAAAACTGAAAGGATATAGAGAAAGGTCTACGAAACTGGATCAATCATGACCATCAGAAAGCTGCTGCAAACTTGTTAAATGATGATATCCTGTAAATCTCCAAACTTCCTAGTTTTTAAGTGTGATTTCCGAACCAAAATTACAGAAGTAAAACTGCTTTCGGAGACAGCTAAGGAACCTAACTGAAACAACTTTAACTTGGTTGAATTTCAAGAATTCTGTACTTAATGCAAATGTACAGCAATGAAAAGGATATTTTTAATTCACTCGTGGAACATGAGTGCCGCTGACTGGCCAGCATTCATTGCCTGTCCCTAGTTATCCTTGAGAAGGTGGTGGTGAACTATATTCTTAAACCACAGTTTACGTGCTGTAGGTTGACCCACATTGCTCTTGGAGAGGGAATTCCAGGAATTTGATCCAGCAGTAGTGAGGAAAGGTGATACATTTCCAAGTCAGGATGGTGAGTGGCTTGGAGGGGAACTTGCAGGTGGTGGTGTTCCCAAGTATCGGCTCCCCTTGTCCTTCTAGGTGGAAATGGTCGTGGGTTTGGGAGGTACCAAAGGAACCTTGGTGAATTTGTGCAGTGCACCTTGTAGATAGTACATTGCTGATCCTTAGCATTGATGGTGGAAGGAGTGGATGTTCATGGATGTGGTGCCTGCTTTGTCCTGGATGCTATCAACCTTTGAGTGTCGTTGGAGCTGCACCCATCTAGGCAAATGGGGAGTATTCCATCACACTCCTGACTTGTGCCTTGTAGATGCTGGACAGGCTTTGGGGAGTCAGGAGGTGAGTTATTTGCCACAGTATTCCTAGCCTCTGACCTGCTCCATAGTTAAGGTACTTAACTGGTGAGTCCAGTTGAATTTCTGGTCAATTATAACCCCCAGCATGTTGATAGTGGGGGATTCAGTGATGGTAACATTACTGAATGTCAAGACGCGGTGGCTAGATTGTCTCTTTATGGAGATAGTGATTGCCTGGCATTTGTGTGGCACAAATATTACTTGCCAATTGTCAACCCAAGCCAGGCTGTTGTCCAAATCTTGCTGCATTTGGTCATGGACTGCTTCAGTATCTGAGGAGTCCCAAATTGTTCTGAACATTGTGAAATCATGACTGAACATCCCGAGTTCTGACCTTAAGACAGAAAGAAGGTCGTTGATGTTGCAGCTGAAGATTGCTGAGCCCAGGAAACTACCCTGAGGAACTCCTGCATAGATGTCCTGGACTGGAGGTGACTGACCTCCACCATCTTGTGATAAAGTAAGGTTAGGCAGATAAAGGTAAAGGAGAATCCAAAGAGATTCTATAAGTACATGAAGGGCAAAAGAGTAACTAGGGAGAGAATAGGGACTCTTAAAGATCAACAAGATCATCTGTGTGCACAGCCACAAGAGATGGGTGAGATTCTGAATGAATATTTCTTGTCAGTATTTACTGTCGAGAAAAGTACGGATGCTAGGGAACTTCGAGAAATAAATAGTGATGTCTTCAAGTGTGTCCACATTACAGAAGAGGTGGTGTTGGAAGTCTTAAAACGCATAGATCTCCGGGACCTGATGAAGTGTATCCCAGGGCTTTGTGGGAGGCTAGGGAGGAAATTGTGGAGCCTCTCGTGGAAATATTTGTATCATCGACAACCATGGGTGAAGTTCCTGAAGACTGGAGGATAGCTAATGATGTGCCATTATTTAAGAAAGGTTGATTCCCCAGCTTGGTGGTAATGGTTGAGTATGGGATATGTCAGGGCATGAGGTTACAGATTATGCTGGAGTATAATTCTGCTGCTGTTGATGGCCCACAGCACCTCATGGATACCCAGTCTTGAGTTGCTAGATCTGTGAAAAGTCTGTCCCATTTAGCATGGAGATAGTGCCATACAACATGACGGAGCGTATTCTCAATGACAAGGTGGAACTTTGTCTACACAAGGTCTGTGTGGTGGCTATTCTTACAGATACTGTCATGGACAGATGTATCTGCAGCTGGCAGATTGATAAAGATGAGGTCAAGTATGTTTTTCCCTCTTGTTGGTTCCCTCACCACCTGCTCCAGACCCATTCTAGCAGCTCCCCTACCCAGAGTAGATTCTGTGCCCTTGTCATCTGCAGTCCTTCCTCCAAAAACATGGAGGAATACTAATTCATCAGTGAAGGGAGGATGGTATGTGGTAACCAGGAGGGTTCCTTTCTCATAGAACATAGAACAAGAACATAGAACATTTACAGTGTGGAAACAGACCCTTCGGCCCAACAAGTCCACACCAACCCACAGAGCATCCCACCCAGACCCATCCCCCC